CAAAAATGTCATGTCTATTATCATTGACACTACTAACAGCTAACTTTGCCTATATTCCTATCTTTCAGAGGCATTCATCTGCTTTCCAGTGCAGTACCTAAGAGGCTGCAACTGAAACTCGCACAAAGGCAACCAAGTGTCACTTCATCAGCCTACAGTAACAGCCCATCTGTAATCAAGATATGGGTGAAGTGGCATAGAAGAACAACCAGTAAACATGAAAAGATGTATTTTGTTTTGAACTATTTCTTAGTATAACAGAACAGCACAGTGCACACTTACTGCTTTTTATGTTTGCCCTATGTGCAGTTTTGAATAATTTTAACTATGAAATGCTTTTGCTAACTACTCTCTTTACATAAGCTTCCTTTGTCATGCCTGTGTAATTTTGAGTTTACATGCATGATGTAGGCATGTTAGCATGTATTTCCCTTGGCTTCATAAAACTACTTCCAAGCATTTGTTATGGACATTGGTGCTACCTACACCTACCTACCTGTATATATGATGCTTCAGATGTGTCCAGTAGTTGATGAAGGGAGAAGAGTAGTAGGACAGCTGATAGGCTGATAGCTATTACCAAAAATATGTGCTTGTCTGCACTTCGGGCTGTTCCATCATATGCAACCTCTATTTACTTCCTTGCGTTAGAAACACCCCATCTTTTGTTTCTTTCCTGTGCGCCCATTGTTTCCGTGGTGCTATATATAAACGTCAAGTTTGAAGTTGGTATCCAAGTGAGCAAAATTTGCATTATTTCAGGCCGTCTTGAATCATTCGTCTTGAATTATATCCCTAACTGACATCCTGTTATTTGTCCTGCAATGTCTGTGCCTGTGTCCGCCCTTACCTCCGGCTCCAGCCTCCAACCAGGCCTGCTGAGTGCTGAGCTATGTCGCCGGCGCGGTGTGTCGCCGGCGCGGTGTGTCTCCACTCCACCCGACAGCTGCTAGGAATCGTCCTGTGCCATGCGCCATGCGTCACAGCAATTGTAAGCTGCAGGTCACATTCGGACTGATTGGCTCCGCGTATGTGCATCCGGCCGGGTGCTAGTCGATATCAGGGACGTGGGTCGGACTGTTGTGGCGGCGTGCACTGTGCTGGTTGAAGTTGTTGTATGTATTTCTGTTAGTGAAAAGCATTAATACATAACCGTGGCCGCAGCCCAATGTTATTGTGGATTTCAGAGGGAGTGGCCAGTCAGGAGGGCCCCATGTGGGTATAGATCCAGTGTCCAGTGGGATTGGCTAAGATTTCCGGCGATTGATAAACGCTTCTATGATAGTAAACCTATTGAGGTACGAGGGAAGGTCACGTGAGGAACCTGACCTTACTAAACTGTTGTGAAAACAAGACACATACGAACGGTAAGAAACCGACAGCTCTTCTTTCTGCCAAGTGTCATCTTTCTGTGAAGGATTTCTTGGCACTGAGTGTCCAGAAATTGCGTTGCTTTTGGACTGTGTAGAGGCTCACGAGCGACAACATAGGTCACCAACCTGACGTACCTTAAATATGCGACTTGTACCAGAAGATCCAGCTTGATCAAAAGATTGTACATGTCAAATTTCAGCTCTTTAGCTCAAAAGAATTTTGAGTTATCGTAAAAACCGTCAGTGTGGCACCGTATCGCCTCCCCGCGCGGTCGGAAGGTAAAAGTTCGCCGGCTCTAACTAAACAAATAGTCGTCGTATCGCAAATTCATTGACGGCGTTCGAAGCGTCGTTCAATTTACTTTCGAAACATATCCTAACATTAACATTTATCTGCCTAGCGCAATCTCCAACAAGCAAAAGTTCCGTGCATTCATCCTCATACAGTGTTAGCGGCCGCCGGCCGCCGGCCGCTGACCCACATTCGCGTCATCAGGGAATGCCGCAACTAATTTATTGTTTCCAACTTTTTTCCCGGAGCGTTCTACCTGGTTTATATAGCCTTGGGTCAGCCTTCGGTAGTGTTGTGGGTATAGGCTTGTTGATGTCTCCATTGAAACCAAAAGTGCCATCAGCGTTGGCAGCGGCTGGCAGCGTGCCGTGAAACACCGCCCAGGTCAGGTCACAGACCCAAAAGACGGAAAAATCAGGACCTGTCAGAACCTCCTAAAGTAAGGCTGTAATACGTTTTTTTTTGTGCTGATCACAAATTTCATGTTAGTTTGGATCATAGATAATGTCTTCATGCGTTTAGACCATGTCGGGGCAGGTCAGGTCAGATCAACCAGTAGGGGTACTTATGGGCGTCCGTATAGCAGGTGTCCACTACCACTGGCAGCTACGTAACATGATACGAAGGCATCAAAACTACTTCGTAAATGTTCAAATGGCTGCAAAATGCTAAATTCAAAATCAGCTAAACGAAACTATCCTAGAAACATGTTAAACTCGGAAAAGTGCACCGAGGTCATCAAAGGTCAATGACCTGACTTGACCGTAAGGTGACATTGGCATCCGCCCTAATGCGTGGGAGCAACATCATATCACATGTTTGAGCGTTTTAAACCACGAAAAGACTATGAAAGCGCGGATAATGTGAGCCGACATACGCCGAATCGCTATTCCGGCCAAACATGGCCTCCAACATGGCCAAACATTCTCGAGAAATAGGCCACAAGTCAAAGTTCACTTGGGTCAGGGTCATGAAATTTTCAGACTTTGTCACCATGAGGGTACTAAAGTTTCGTCGCGATCGGCTTCATGATACCTTACACGATAACTTCACACGTCGATCGAGAGTTAAAGCATGGATGAAGGAGAACCAGGGGATGAAGGTTCTTTCATCCATGGTTAAAGTGTGCAATAAGAACTTCTTGGGTGAAGACAAGACCAACACTTTTATCAAGCTCACAGATTTTTAATGATACGGTATTTTCTCTCTACCTACTACGCCCTTCTCACATTCATTTTTCTTAAGTGTTTTTGGGGACAAAAAATATATGTTGTTCCCCTTTCAGGCTTGGGGGCATGACCCCGTGGCCCCCCTGGATCCGCTAGGCCGAAACTAACTAGGTCGTTTTCAAACGGTCTGATATTTCAGGTCATAGTTTGCAAACGGCCGGTGTTTTCAAGTAGTTTCATATGGCCTGACTGGGCCAGGCCGTTTGCAAACGGACCGAATTTTCATACGGCCTGTAACATATATTCAGATTTCGACATCTGTCGTAGCATCAAATGCTGATGTGGCGCACTCAAAAGCCGGAATTGGTCCTTGGATGCCGTAAGGACCCTTTTAAGAAATAAGTGACCCGACTGACCCTTAGAGATTGGCCTGAGCTGTGACCGAAATAAGTCTTTTACCGTTTCGCAGGAAGGGACAAAAAGGTCCCTCATATGCTTCTTGTACAATTACGAAACAAAACAAGTTTTTTTTTCAACGAAAACTCAGTGAGTTTTCCTAAAAAATTTATTGCGCATATTCCGTGAATGAAAAGTTGCCGGGTCATGTCAGGTCAGGCTGCCACAGCAAGTTTGTTAACTTGACAGCTCAATCGATATTTATGCAATAAGACCTTCTCGGGTGACGATAAGACATGACGACACTTTATGAAGGAAGCTAGTAAACCCGGTAGTTTCTCCATAGGCGCGGGAACCGGGGGGAGGGGGCAGTGGTGGCAGCTTGCCCTCCCCCCCCCCCCCCCAACTCTGGGGCCGTGCGGGCGGTGCCCACACAACTTTCAGACAGAATACCGCTCCTTTTTGCAAATGTTTTCTTTTTTTGTTGAAAAAGCCAAGGGATGAAAAATAAGTGGCCTAAAACCGGCGACAAAACTATATTTGGGGGATCCTAGGTTGATCTCTATCATGGTGTGACCTCCCCCCCCGTCTAAAAGTAGTTCCCGCGCCCCTGGGTTTCTCTACGCTATTGAATCACGCTGCTGATTCTAGTAAGTATCTACTGCACAACCTTCTCACATTAATTTTTCTTCGAGCGTTTTGGGGGCCAAAAGATTGTTGGCCCCCTCTTTCAGGCTTTTTGGGCCCATGGCCCCGGTGGCCCCCTTGAATCCGCCAGTGGGGGCGGTGCCCCCACAACTTTCAAACGGAATACCGTCCTTTTTTGCAATTGTTTTCCTTTTTTGTTGTTGAAAAAGCCAAGGGATGAAAAATAAGTGGCCTAACACCGGTGAGAAAACTAGATTTGGGGGGACCCTAGGTTGATCTCTATTATGGTGCGCTCCCCCAGTCTGAAAGTAGTTCCCGCGCCCCTGACTTTCTCTACGCTATTGAATCACGCTGCTGATTATAGTATCTACTACGCAACCTTCTCGCATTAATTTTTCTTCAAGCGTTTTGGGGGGCCAAAAGATATGTTGGCCCCCTCTTTCAGGCTTTTGGGGGGCCATGGCCCCGGTGGCCCCCCTGGATCCGCCAGTGGGGGCGGTGCCCCCACAACTTTCAGACGGAATACCGTCCTTTTTTGCAACTGTTTCTTTTTTTTTTGTTGAAAAAGCCAAGGGATGAAAAATAAGTGGCCTAAAACCGGTGAGAAAACTAGATTTGGGGGGACCCTAGGTTGATCTCTATTATGGTGTGCTCCCCCAGTCTGAAAGTAGTTCCCGCGCCCCTGACTTTCTCTACGCTATTGAATCACGCTGCTGATTCTAGTAGGTATCTACTACGCAACCTTCTCACATTAATTTTTCTCCAAGCGTTTTGACTTTTGGGGGGGGCCAAAAGATATGTTGGCCCCCCCCTTTCAGGCTTTTGGGGGGGCCATGGCCCCGGTGGCCCCCCCCTGGATCCGCCAGTGCCCTGCCATAAAATCGTATGTAGCGATACAATTTTGCGAAAAGCTAGACCTAGTTCAACGCATCTACCTGAATTGAGAACAATTAGCAAGAAATGCAAATAACAATAATAGCAAGCAGCAGGACCTCTGTTGGACAGTTCAATAAAGCTGATTGCTGAACATCAGATTTAGACTCCGCCGAATCCGGTACTCCGCCGATTTGGGCAGAATCTTCCGCCAATCCCGCTACTCCCAAGGTATAACGAATAACGCACCGGAGTGTTCGCGTCGGATGTGGGCCCGCAGTTTCTGGGGCTGGCTGAAGCGGGCTCCACACAGGTGGCACAGCGGATGGGTCCGCTCCGGGTTGGCCGCACAGCCGTGGTTCCGGTGCAGCTCCAGGTAACTAAGGCGACGGAAAAACTGCAGCAAACATGGGAATGGTGGTTAGAGGGCCGGATGAGATGATAGGGCACGACAAGTTACATGATCCATGGTAAAAGCGAGCATTTTTACTTTGATTTTTTTTAAGGCAGGTACCCAATTATGTCGTAGGGCCCGTTTCCTAGGGTCATGACGTACCTTGCCGCAGTGTTGACACTGGTAGGCGCCGGCTCCGTTGTGCTTCTCCAGCGCGTGACGGAGGAGCTTCTGACGACCCATGACCGCCTCACCGCATACCTGGGGACGAGACAAAAATCCGTTGGAGAAACATGACGGATGGGTATATGGCTAACAGGTTCAAGTATTACGTCGCGACTGCTTGAATGGTCTTTATGGTAACATAAAGTAACTGCGTAAGCCTACGTAAACCCATATTTCCTTTCCAGATTTCCAGAGAGTAATCAAGTGGATAGCGTGCCTCGAAGTACGACAGCATGATGCCAATTTTTAAAACGATAAACAGTCCAGCTCAGTCAGCACATTCTCTAGATCTCTTACCTTGCAGTAGTATTTGCGGACGGTGAGCGGCGTTCCCGGCTCATGGAACAGGGAACAGTGCCGCCGGTAGTACAGCGGATGTTCGAACTTCATGTTACAGCCACCACACCCTGACAAACACATAAAACGGACTGGTTAAACGTTGGCCATGCGTCAGAGGATCGGATGCATTGTGATGAGACGGCAAATGAGCCGTATGCCGTCCAGTTTTATTACAATAAACTGCACAAACTGGTGGGCTAAGTTGAGGACTCACTCGTTTTCAGCATGTTCTTCCCGCTCCACACAGTCCCTGGATCGTCCTGCCAGTAGGTAAGTTCCGTTCCGGCCGCTAGGTGGCAGGTGCTGACGGCAAATAGATGGCGCTGGCGAGTCACCACCGCCAGGGTGCGCTGCGATCGCCGCGCCGCCGGCCGCAGCATTCGAAACCACGAGGAGGTCGCCGGATCTGAGGTGTCCAGAAACGACCCCTCGCCGTACACCTGGCGGCAGAGGAATTATCCTGAGGTCACATCCACTTTATCTGATCACAGGTCAAAGGGGCAAAGTCGATAGGCGCACAGACCACCATAACCAAAAGTCGCGATATAGCCTGACAAGCTGAGAGACGCTCGACAAATGACATCTCATTCAGCATTTCCAAAGCCGGCAATGAGCCAGGTAGCACGTCTCGTCAAATGTCTTACCTCCCAGATATGTCTCAGGTCCACCGGTTCTACGAGGTGCTCCGGTCGCACAGGTCGACCGACCAGAGGTCCAAACAAGGTGTATGCTGCCACCCCGTCCGGCCCGGCCCGCACCGTGCTGCCATCTATCCGCAGACAGGCAGGCAGAGTGTCCGCGCCACAGCCGCCAGGAGAGTCTTGCGCCCAGCAGTGCGGGTGCTGTAATGGGCAGGCGATAGCGGAGTGTTCTGCGTCACAGTCGGTGCAATGCGACGGTGGCGACATCTTTGCTGGAGCGGGCTCAGCCTGCGCTGCCATGTGTGCGGTTGATTGAGTTGTCATGTCAGCAGCGTTTGATGAGGCGTGGTCTTGTTCGGATGCTGTGTTTTGCGACGCATCCAACTCTTCTCTCCTTCCCGGTTGATAGGTAGTCGGAAAGTAGCTCTCTGAACTTCGTTTCTCACTTGCGTGTAAGCTAGAACCACAATTTGAATTTCCACCGTAACTGCCATTTTGTTTGGTAGCGCCATCTATAACGGCGCTTGCAGTGCCATCTATATCTATAGTCCCGTCCGTACTACAGATGGCGCGGCCTCTGCGCAGCACGCACGGACGGTTCGAGCCTGGCGGACGGAGCCGTGACCGACGATCAGAGTTGGCGTCAAACCCTCCTGCTGATTGCAGCTTATTGCCAAGTTCCTCTCGCTCATTCGCGGGTCGATGACCATACGCTAAATTATCCTCTGTCCTGGCCAAATCTTCCGGCTGATTTGGAAATTGCGTATCATGGAGGCTCTCCTGCATCAGCTGTTCGTCATTGATAGCGTGGTTGATCGCCCTGTCCACCGAATCAGCACTGAGAATGACACTCACTTGTTGATCACGTGGCATCACCGGCTGCTCTAGCACAGGATCACGTGATATTTCCGATTGGCCTGCCGTGTAATCAAGCGGTGCTGCGGTATGTGAGGTCACATGACTTCGTCCTACCTCAACGTGGGACATCACGTGACTGGAATTGGTGTCCTGCCACCTTGTTCCTGCATCTCCATTTAACGTTTCAAAGATCGGGGAAGGTCTCGTGTCTTCTCGTGCTGGTCCGGATTCAGCGTCGTAGTCCGGCGCTAGATGTCCCTCCAAATGATGGCTAGCGCCGCTGAGTTGACCTGAGGTCAGGTCGTGACCCCAGGTGACCTCTGACCTCTGGTGTCGCTCAGCTGGCCGCAGGTCACAGATGCTGCCACTCTGAGAATGTTCACTCAGGTTCGGTTGATTGGAGAGACCTCTAGCAGACACAGATGGATCTGACACTGAGTAGTCCTCATTTCGAGACTCTTTGGTGGAGGAAGATGCGCCCGATGGGTATGTTGAAGGCAGCTCTTCTGCTGGAGCCTCCTGCCTGAAAATAGGTGCTTGAATTACCACAAGCTGCGACATATCACGGAAGTCGATACATTACATCGATCTCGCGAATGAATGAATGAATGAATGAATGAATGAATGAATGAATGAATGAATGAACGAAGGAAGAACCGAATGAATGAATGAATGAATGAATGAATGAATAATTGAACGACGATCGAAGAATTAATGATTGATTGAATTCGGTTATTTAATATAAAGATACGTACTAACGCTGATATTTACCTGCAATGTTTTTCCGCCAGCTGTAGGAGCGTCTCGGCCAGAATCACCAGCTGATGGCAGGCCAGCCGACGGCGAACGACCTGCCACCTGGCGGCCGTTTTTGGAGGCAGCAGCAGAAGGCCGGAGCACGGCCCGGCTCCAGAGACCTCCACACGAATCATGACGTCACAGGGTCACCGCTGGGGGGCAGGGTCACAGGTCATGGGTCACACACACATCGTGGAAATGATTCGGCGGTTATGTGAGGGATGAATATAGGTATAGATCAGAGCAAGTGGCAATAGAGAATAATGAATTTTCAAACCGTACTTCTGATTCAACAGGTGATTTCAGCTAAAAAAAAAAACATCGAAAAGTCGTACTTCCATCTCCAATATAAACGCTCGACATTCGGCATTTGCAGCCCTCAAAGCATGACTAATTATATGAATGAAAACTCGCAGACATGACCACGAACAACCACAAGGGAAAATTCCGACCACTCAGTGCACGGATTAAAACTGTAAAGACGGGTTTAGTGTAAATCGTGCATATTACTCGGCGAAATGTAGCTCAGATAGCGCTAGTCAGGCCCGTTTTTCGCTAAGCCTCATGCAGTAACGCGACTCCGAAAGTCGGGACTCCCACAACCTAAAACCCATTGAACTCAACACGTTAGCAAGTTCTTTCAGGTCAGAATTTGAAGAATAGCATTAAAGCGCAGCCTTTTTAACTACCTTGTAGATCGGTGGGGCGATTGTCGTTCAGTCTTTCGTCTCTTCAGCCATGAATTATCTTCACCAGCTCACTACCGCCGTAGCGTCGTCCTAAGCTCCAGCACGTGTCCATGAAGCCTGCATAGTGGATACAAATGTCGTCACTAAAATTCGTCACTTTGGCAATCAAGAGCACATACAGTATGCACAGCTCTACCAATGCGTATAAAAGCAAAGGGCAAGACACACCATTACACCCAACTAAATTAACACACTCACAGTTGCCTTCCCAACGATTTACAACCTACGTGCGACTATCAGGACACAAGCGAGACACGCAACACAAAACACTGAACCATACAAAACTCAGCTCTCACATTCATGGTACACCTCTTATCTCCCGAATCAGCTTACCACAGTCTCATTCCTACCTAATCCTCGGTCTGGTTTTACCACAAAGCAGCCGCACGGACACTAGCTCTATCCTCACTCACCTACATTGCACCCAGCCAGGGCGAGCTCACGCCAGTGACTGACTTACAGCCTTGCTGCCACCGGCGCGGCCACCACCGCTGGGCCGGGAGCCAACGGAACGCCTCCACCGCCGCCGCCGCCGCCGCCGCCGCCGCCGCCGCCGCCGCTGCTCCCACTGCTAACGTCGTCATCGTCGACCGTCGGTTTCGACGACCGGCGGTTGCTTCGTCGGCGTCGGCGTGCCACCGACGAGGTTTGGTCTGGTGGTCGATATACTGACTGGCTGTGTGTGTCGAGGGAGGGGGAGGGGAAGGGGGGTGTTTGGATAGGATGACCCATATACCTGCTGTGCTGTACCTGTAGGGGAGGGGGGGGGGGAAGGAGCAAGTGGGAGGTGGCTTTGAATGGCTGAGGGAGGGGGAGGGAGAGCTTAGGTTATGACTAGCTGTGAGCGTAGAGGAGAGGGCTAGACCAGGTTTGGAGTTACAGGAGGGGGGGGGGGGGGAAGGGCAGGTGACGGGGAGGAGACGGGTGGTTAGGGTACGTGTTGAATGGATGGGGAGGGGGACGGGGTACAAGTCGTGACCGGCTCGAGGGCATGGTACAGACGTGAGATCAGGTAGACACAGGGGTGGACTGGGCGGTGATGTGGGTAAGACAGGACACAAGCAGTGGCGGTGTTCAGACAGCTACATTGGCGATTGATCACTAACAGGACGCTGGGCAGGAAAGGTCATCGTATTGGTTAGCATCGCTACTGGTTGATGGCTAAGCCATGGTGCAATATCGCTTATGTATGAAGGCAGTAGGGCGGCAGTATCATAGATAAGACGATGTGGTGTATTTTTTTCTGGGGGATTCCTGTTCGACTAATATAGCTCTAATTTACCGCATGCACTCGTTAAGCCAATATTTAACTTAGAGCGATAACTGTAACAAATGTAAAAAGTAAATAAACAATTTCTTCTTCTGTGATAGTCTGTTTGGGGACCTCTTGTTTCAGCCGTATAACCAACACGGTTTTTCTTTTCTTCAAGTATGTATTGCAAATTTGACGACAGAATCCAAAAGTAATAAACAGTCGGCCGAGACTTTGAATAACGATACGTCAGGCCGCTACGGCGGTTGGCTTTCGAATCCATCTTTCACAGCTCCTGCTCGGCGTTCGGCGTCGGCCGCTATATTCAAACGTCATACACACACGTCATACATATAGATGTACGTCATATCATAGCACCAATCAGAAGCGGGCGAGGACAGGCGTCGCAGGTGAGGAGTGAGGACCATATAAGGGTATTGTAAGTGGGCGAGGGGGCTGGGCAGTAAGTAGGTACAGAGGGAGGTGGAGGACGGGGTAGGAACGAATTTCGTTACAATAACTCTCATCGGCTGCAAACACGGAGATTTATCGTCCTTCATCGAGCGCCATGGTGCACTGGTTTCCTTGATCAAAAACCCTCCAAAATACGGAAAATACATTCGTAAAATATATTTGATCACCTCAAAACGAGATACAACTGTGCAGCACGTCTGGAATGCAATACAGTGCTGTACCCTGCAGCGAAGATACAGCGATTCGAACTCTCTTTCAACGTGATACAGCTCTACAGTGCGGATACTAACTCACATACCTGCATCCGTACACTCACATAACGCGGGTATTCAGGGCTGAACTAAGAACTCTAAAAGGCACATACACCTCACATTTGCACATAAAATACAATGCTCAAGCGCAAACTCAAGACAGCTCAAATCGCACTTTCGTTACCGAAACATCACGCTCGCTTCTGTGCCCTGTTAAAATAAACACAACTCCCATCGCGCTGAGGTTCCTACTAGCTCCTCCCCACTCTCTCTTCCCTCCCTCCGTCCCCCTCTCTCTCTCTGTCGATAAGGGCACTGCCAATCACTTTCAACGTTCAATGAAAGAGCGTTTTGCATCGGCCTTCATCACTCTATACACCAAACGCCGACGCTAGACATACAATCACAAACATCGGACTACGACCGTGACGCCAAGATATAACACGACCGGTGTCTTCACTAGTGAGGCCTTCGGACGCTAAACACATCGCTATGAGAACAGCTTTTTCAATTTAATCTTCTTGGACTTTTTCTTTTCGGTCGCCTGCTCCTTTTCGTCGATGTCCTTGTCAGCATCGCGTCCCTTCTTCTTGCTGCTGCCTTCCTTTTCCTTCTTGTCTTTCTTTTTCTTTTTCTTCTTTTTCTTGTCCGGTGCGGGCTCCACGGAGCCAACCCTTTCGGCTGAAAAGATGGATGATTGAAAATAAGCGATACTGTTTCACAGGCATATCAAAAATACAGCGAAATGAAAAGTGTAGCTGTCAGCGATAAAAAATTGTTAACAAATAATGACAAAAATTCAACCATGTTATGGATAAGAAATACAATTTAAAATGTTACAATTGAAAATCGGATGACATGATGACATGAAATGTCCTTTCCAGTAGTACACAGCGTAGTTAGTGATGAAAGCCAATGCGAAATGGAAAATGTTAGGCAACATTCGCGCTCAAAGTATCTCAAACTGAAAAGGTGAAAGCCTATAAATGCTACGTTGCTATTAGAAGATCAATAACCACGAAGCGCAAATATCAAGCCACTTGTTACACTAGTAAATAAATCGCAGCCACCGCAAACTAAGGGTTAATGTAGCTCATATCTCAAACAGCCACCCCGCAACCCCGCCAGTCCCTTCAATAGGTCAGCGACGACCCGACATCAGCAGCGCCGACCTGACCTGACCTGACCCGACCCCGCTGTGGCTGCCCGTACCACCGCTGATAGTTGTGCGATGACTGAACAAATTTAAGCCAATTTTGATAAAGAGGACGTAACGTAATAATCAATTATCGAGGATCAATGAAAAATTGGGATAATAAATGAGATAAAAACGAAAAAATAAATCCGAAAAATTATTGAAGTACCAACCATTTCAAGGCTGTTTATTTTAGGAAGAAATTCGGTAGTCATTACAATAATTGATATTGTAACAAATCCTCAAATAACACAAGAACATAACCAGAGTGTTCAGCGGTGTAAATGGCAGCCACAGCGAAATCACGGTCCTACGTGCGAGGGAGTGGGACAAGTTCTGAGCCTGGGATACACAATGAGCTCACGGAGGTCTCAGATCAGACACATTGTGCAGCAGAAAAAGAATAGAGAAAGAAACACCAAAAAGCGTAGGTTAGGCTCGTCATAATAAGCTCAGCAAAATGAGAGAAAAAGAGAAAGAACGATGAAGAAAGAGCATGCTGGTTATGTAAATTTGCTAATCGAAAGACACATTTAAACACATAAAGCATAGACTGCATGCCTAAGAAAAGGAGCAGACGAGCCTCATGGAATGTCCCAAAAAAAAATTATCTCAAAGAGACATCTCATTTGTAGGACATTCCTCGGGACTATTTGCCTGCCACCACACAACACACAAACCAGTAGAGTAACAAAGGGTGCCAGTGCTCAACTAAATTTCCGCCCCCACTCCACAGCCTCCGCATCGCCGCCGCATTTAGCCATTGGATAAATTAGGAGTCAGCCTTCAACCATTAGACTTAGACGAAACCCGTCTTCAGCCATCAGCTCAAGACGGATCCGCCTTTAGTTCATAGCCTTCAACAAAGCCATCGCCTTTTACCCTCACCATTTCAGCAAATGACATCAAAGTACTGTGACACTGAGGCAGTTTCATAAGCCACAGCTCTGGCTGAACGGGCGCGGCCCTGGCGGCGGCGGCGGCGGCGACTACGGGCGGGGGCGGACCAATATATATCTCTCTGTCTGTCTAGATATCGGGCCGTCGCTGTACCTGTGTACAAACCCATGTGGTGGTCAATGGTGGCGTCCTCCTGGATCTCCCTGATCCGCTCCATCTCCAGCATGGTAACGATCTCGTTACGCTGCTCCACAACGGACACCAGTCTGGAAACGGGAGGGGGGGGGGAGGTCAGTGGATGACGGCTTGACAAGACCAGTCAAAGAGCAGGAATCAGTTCAGTCCACGGGAGAGTAGATACTAGACAGTGATGTTTGCAGTAATGATATTAAGTGGTAAAATGTTAGATATGGTCTCAGGTCAGCTGATAGGGAAATGATCATTGCTACGGTCATGTACACGACATAAGCTTCATACCGTCGAAACCCGAAACATAATATAGATGTCGATCGTTATTGATCACATTTCTCTACCTCAGATATTCATCGGGCCCTTTTACCGCCCCTCCCTAGTCTCTCGGTCAACCTTTCACTCTCTCCCCTCAAACACTATCTTACCCAACCTCCTCTCCCACCCCTCACCTTTCGATAAGCCGCTGTTCCCGCTGCCTCTCCATCTCCGTTTTCAGCGAGTCGGCTTTCATCATCAGACAGCGGATCTCGTACTCAAGCTCGGCGTGCTCCTCCTCCAGACGGTGCTGGCGCCGCCTGGTGGGAGGTGGGGGAAACAGAGGTTAGTATACAGACCGCTAGGGTACGAAGCAGCGGCCGGAAATCGGGGAGTAGGTATATGAAATACGAATTGTTAAAGGATGATGCCGGATTGGTCATCTATAATAAAAAATAAGCTAGGAAAGTTGAAACCAAAACCATAGAGATGTTAAAATATGTGATCTTAGCTGTTATTGCTAGAGCAGCCCACTAAACACGACGTCCCTCAAAACGGTGCGTTATAATAGCACTGTCGAAATCTACTGCACCTCAAGCATCACCCAGCAAATGCGTCACTAGTCCTCTAATAGCTGAAAAATCGCCTCATCCCATCACCAACCCGATTCCCTCTCCCAATCACCGATAACTCACATGTACATTAGCTCCGCCTGTCGCCTGAAAAGTGCGTTCTTCTCGTTGACCAGCTCGAACAGCTGCAGGATCATGTCCTCGATATCCAGACCGTAGGGCGCTGTACTGTCCAGCTCTGTAGAGGAGAAATGGTGAGGTTATCAAATAGCCCAGACGATATCTACGGCTGCTCAGAATGGAATTATAAGTTCAACGACAACCACGTAAAGCGAGACGCAATGTGATTTGTGTTATCGGTCAACACTCAACATGCTCTTTGTCCATAGTTTCATGGATTTCTCGATAGTTCTTCGCTCTGTTATTCTCCATCAGCTATCTGTAGATTGGTACCTTTTTGTCCACCACCTTCCCCGATCCCGTACCTTTCTGTGATTTGTCGTCCTGCTCGGTGAGCTGCCGTATGGTTTTCTCCAGTTCGACCCCCTGTCTCTCCAGTTCCAGCTGCCGCACGTTGATGTCGTGAAGCTCCGTCTGCGTCTCCTTCGGCGGCAGCGTCTTCACCTGTGGTGTAAGGAGTGAAGCACCTTGGTGAGAAAAAACGGAACATGCGTGCAAAATGTAGTGAGAAGCACAGATGAGAAGAGGAAAGATACGTAAAAAGTATTGGACGACGATTACAACGACTAGCTCAAACCACAGATCAAACATATCAAGGATAACGTGCTTCAACGTTTGTTCAGTCAATCTGTAAGGTTCAGTAAACGTAAGGTTCAGTAAATCTTACATCAGTCTGCCCATTTTTTCTTAACTTATCGTGTCAAAAAAGGGCCAACAGCAAACAAATAAACCCATTTTCACCACTCCCTAGACCTCTCTTATTCCTCTAAATCTGCCAATTACAATCATATTCTCACCTGTCGTTTGATGGGTTTGGGCCGCAGCGGCGCAGGTCCCTTCCTCCGCTTGTACTTGCCCTGGATGGACTTGTTGGTCAGGTTGTTGACCTGCTTGGTGTAGTTGTCCTGCTCCTTCTCCGCCTTACTCCGCTCCGGGCTATGTGCCTCCGGCTCCGGTTCCGCGCCGGTCGTCTCCGGGGCGGGGGCGGGAGCGGGGGGAGGGGTTCCCGATACCGCTACTGGAGGTGGCGGCGGGGGCGGAGGAGCGTGCCTTTTACGCAGTGTTGATGGCGAGTGCGCTGGAGAGACGCCCTGCAAAAGGACAAGAGCAAAAAGCGTAAGTCGGACTTAATGCGTAAAAATAATTAGTCCGTACGCCATTGAGTACGTTACGTATGGTTGAACGCTTGAACACTGAACAGTGAACAGCCCCTTTCACCCACAAACCACAACGACGTAGCGAGGGTCGCGTCAAAACCAAAACTGAACCTGGAGATGCCGGGGATTGAACCCGGGGCCTTTCACATGCAAAGCGAACGCGCTACCACTGCGCTACATCCCCTCCGTCAACGATGCTCACTCATAGCCCAAGACACCAGTCACACAGCTATGACGTCCTCTGCTATGACGTAATATGCATTATGACACAACAGAACACTCGTGAGATAACGAACAGCTCCCGTATATTATCAACACGCGGTCCCAGCGGACTCAAAACTCCAAGGTCACCGCTTACCTGGCTCCGCGACGGTGAGGACTCGACGCCCGGCGGTCGCGGTGCCGGCCGTTTCTTCTTTCCCGTCGAGGTGAGAGAGGTGAGTGACCCAGCGCGCTGCTCCCGAACCAGGCCTGAGGGAAGGAGAGGCGAGAGGCGGTAAATAAACTAGAGAAGGAGAAAAAACAAATGCAGGAGCTGAAGGATGAATGAAATGCCTCCCGCCTCCCTGTATTTTAGAAACATAGAAAAGAGCTGAAGGCCACAATAATTCGACTGAAAATTCTGACTAGCCTGTCCAGCACTAGTATCCATTTTACGATCAAATAGCAACCCTACTGCCTAGTCCGCACTCCCCACAAATCCAGCCGCCCTGTATCATTAGTTCCCGTTCTGCTCACCCGGCGGCTCTGGCGGCCGGGGCGGGGTGACCGCCGCCTTCATTGACGCCAGCTTCCTCCTATCCAGGGTAGGCGGCGGCGGCCGGGGCGGCTTCTCGAAAGGGTTTATCTCCCGTGAGCCGCTGTGGGTGAGAGGGGAGAGGGTTGATGAAATAGAGGGACAAGACGTTGGCAATGACATGATGGCAGAGCTGTGAGCATGAGATGAATCGAAGACGAATACGCTACCAAGCACAATGAATCAGTTTCGACTTTCGAGCGAATCAATAAATCACTGGACAAGTGAATGAATGAAATATTAGGTAACGAATGAATGGGTGAATGAATGAACGACTCAACGAACGATTGTAACATGATTACGGATAAGTAATCCCCGTGTTGTTTTGGTCTTGTTGGATACCCACGGCATCCTAGAGTTTCAGTTATCCCGCTCCGGCCGATCTCTCACCTGGCCGCCTTAGCGGGCGTGCTCTGCGCGCTGGAGGCGGGGGTCACCTCTTCCTCCCCATCCTCTTCGTCCGAGTCTCCGAACGGGTTTAGACTCTGCGGCTTGACCGGCTTCTCCTCCACAGGAGCAGGGGAGGGCTCCTCCTCCTCCTCATCTCCAAACGGATTGAGGTCGTCGGGGTACTCCTCTTCCAGAGGAGCTGGTTCTGACTTTACCTCAGCTGTCTCTGTGGAAGCCGCTGCCGCAGGTTCAGCTTGTTCTTCATCTTCGTCTTCATCCTCGTCGAATGGGTTGTACTCCTTGGGCGGTGCGGGTTTAGGAGGAGTGGGTTCAGTTACTGATACACTAGGAACGGTCGTCTCTTCCACTTTCTCATCCTCTGCGGCAGGCGAAGACTCCACATCAAGAGTCTCTGACGTTTCCTCACTGGGGAGGCTCGGGTACACCACATCCTTGGAAGACGTCTCTTTGATCTCTTCAGCAGCATCCTTGTCTTTGGTCACATCCTCGACCTCTTCCTCGCCATCCGAGCCGAACGGATTCAGTTCATCCTTCTCCTTTTCATCCTCTTCATCGTCCCCGAATGGATTTGAGCTTTCTGCTGCTGCTGCTGCTGCTGCTGCTGCTGCTATATCTGTTGCTGTTGCTGCTGCTGCTGCTGCTGCATCTGTCTCTTTTTCACTTTCCTCTTTCGCTGGATCGCTGCCTTCGTCTTTCTCCTCGCCCTTCTCCCCTGCACTCTTCTCCGGCGGTGTCTGCTCTCCCGACTCGGTCCCCGCCGCCTGTGAGGACCTCCCTGCCCGCCGCGGGGCCGGCTGAGGTCTCTCGGCTGCCTTAAACTGCTGCAGACGCTGCTGAACCAGTGATAGACGCTGTGTGGCGCCGTCAGCTCCAGAGGAGGCGGAAGGAGGGGATCCTGAGCGAGGAGCAGGGGCAGGAGGGGCGGCGGAGACACGGAGCTCCACTTCACCGTCATCGGAGGTTTGAGGTTTTGAGGTCTCTTCTGAGCCAGCTTCAGTCTTATTGTCTGAGGTTTTAGTTTCGTCTGCCGTCGCTACGGCAGTAGTATCTGAGCTTGTACTAGCGCCAGTAGTAGCGTCTCTCTCACTCTCACCACTCACATCACCTCTCTCACTTCTCACACCATTCTCACTTCCCTCCCCACCCCTCCCCGTCCCATCCCCATGTCCGTCCTTCGCCACACCCGCCGTTCGCGCGCAGAGCGTCTCTGTCGCGGCCGACTCCGACTCTGACTCCGACTCGGCACTGTCACTCTCCGAGTCACTGGATGAGGAGTCGGCAGCGCCGGGCGCGCGCGCCGCCGCCTCGGATTCCTCCCGCTCGAGGACTGCGTCGGCGTCCTCACTGAGCGGGTCGTCGGTGGGGCCGGCCAGGACGGCGCGCTCGTGCGCCAACACCGCGGCCGTCTTCTCCACGCGACCGCCAATCTAGAGGGCGAGAGGAAAAGGGTTAGCAAGAGAGGCACGATAAGACAAGGCAAAATCGTTTGCGTGGTTTGATTTCAGGCTTAGAGTAAGAAGAAATGCCATGAGACTTGGTCTACGACCTAAGGCCGTATTCACTATTCACAAAGGGATAACAGCACAAACTCATCACTTAGGAACTTTGTTATCACCTAAAAACAAACATGAAAGGACAGCATACTACGATACCAAGCAGACATTCCCACAAAAGCAGACACTTGCAACAGGGTAGCTCCCAAACAATCAACAACCAAGCAAGCCCTCCTTCCGCCTTTCCCCCTTAGTAGGCATCCTTCGTACTTTTCTTTCCCTTCTTCTCCATCCTTCCCACCATCCCTCTCTCGTCACTCACTTCTTCATCGGGGCAGACCTCGCAGCAGAACTGTCCGTCCTCAGTGATGTAGTAATTGGCGGTGGAGAGCTGACTGCCGCAGCGGGCGCACTTGAAGCACGTGCGGTGCACCAGCCGGCGCTCGATGAGCATTCGCTCGGCCAGAAACACCGGCAGCTGGCACACCGAGCACGGCTGGCGCTGGCGGACGGATGTGGCGACGTGCTGCGGCCGAAAAACCAAACTGTGATTCGCCGCGCCGCCGCCAGGTGGAAGAGTGGTGAGGTGAGGGGAGGAGAATAACGTGAAACGGTGAAAATAAAAGGCGAGAGAGAAAGTTGAACAACGAAAACAACGAAAAGCAGAAAAGATTAACACAAAAGACGAAAGATGACAAAATATTCGTACTTAAGAAAAACAAACACAACATGGAAATAATATTAAAAATAAAAGTAAATAATAAAAAAGAATGAAATGTGAAACGAACAAATGATAGTCGTAAAAGAAAAAAGCGAAAGTAGACGTTCTTAAAATCAATGAAATTAGGTATAGTCGAGGTAACACAGCGGAAAAGAACGGAAAAAGAAAGGTAACATTGAGAAGAAAGAAGCCGATGAGAGAGAGAGAAACGAGAGAAGAGGACAGAATGTGCAACAGACGCGCTCCATCACGAGAGAACGCTCCCTTTTCAGCTCCGACCCACCGTCATGCCATCTATCTGCTGAGAGAGAAGTTGAAGTTAGTCTTGTCGCCGCTGGGCGGCAGCACTATCTCACCTCTCAGCAGAGAATATCGTGACGGTATTGGCCAATGATGTCCAGGTTTTCCTATGGAAGAAACGTGTTAGTTGCCCGTGGAAATGCCTCTGCTACGCATTCAAAGCGTGAAATAAGCTGACCGACAGCTATAATATAAAATTTGGACGGTGCGGGGGATCCTCTACCACGTAGGAAAAATCCTCTACCATGTAGGGAGAATCCTTAACCACTTCGCTTACAACTGCACGGTTCACACATATACTATCACCATTGGAGTGATGGAAATTATACGTGGCCAGCACCGAACGCACTAAACAGAACAAAATGAGCCGCGCAATTCAAAAGATAAGTAGAGTTTAGCTATTTTACAAATAATTTACACACGTGAGACAACAACCTGAACCAGTCCCGCGTTTTTACAAGGCATGCTTTCAACAGGCAACCAACACCTCTCTAGTGTACAGATTGGTATAGCGAAATCAGTGTTCGTCGATAGCTTAGGACTTAGGAGGTTGCATACCAGTGTAACATAGGTAAAGCAAGGCCAATCGACCTCGCCAAATGCATTCAGTATTTGTCAAGAATGGAGTGCTTCTTCATTCTCGTTTCATGCGACGCAGTGATAGGTGAAGTGAGGGCCGATTACTTGTGTGTAAAGAATAGTTAGGAAGTAATGAAAGTTTCATGCCGAAGTGTGGAGTGCACACTGCACAGTTCAAACACCGCCACCAGTTAACCGGAAAAGTGGGATGATTCATTAAAATCACAACGGGCAACTAAAATGTGCGTACCGTATATGTTGTTTTATACAACTGTGCGTCTTTTTAAACTGTCCCAACTAGACGACGAATTAACCCGGCACCGCCTGGGCTATTTCCGTACCCACGACAGCCTGGGGGGGGGGGGGGGTCGGATCCGACCCCCCCCCCCCTGTTATCTCGAGAACCAATGGTCGTATCGAGCCCCGCGAGGCGGCGTTCGAAAGGTCTCTACGAGACCTTCCCAAAGCACTCTTAAGATTTTAAGATTGAGGTCAACTTTCGGGTCAAGGTCAGGTCAGGTCACGAAAGGTCACGGTTTTCACTTTCTGCTACATGGGCGTGCGACACATGTTTTATGGCTTATTTTTCACGCCAAATCCGATGGTAATGGTTATATGTGACCCCAAGTCACTGTGCTGGTGATAAGTGTGCATTGAAAGCATAAAAAATCGTTTATACCATACATAACTAAACGAGGGCTAAGAAAAAAAGTCAATTTTTCAACTTTTTATTTTTGATATAAAAATGCACTTTTCTAGACGAGCTTTGTCCCAGGAATCTAGTGGTGCCATTTGTTTTCACATGCGATGTTCAGAAGTGCCTCTAATTCGCGAAAATGCTTATGACGTCACCATGCCCTATGCATGTTGAAGCTATTTTTTACAATTTGGGGGTCAAAAATCGAGATAGAAAGTTGAAATTTGGGACATCTAATGTTCTAATAGAGCTCTATAACATATATTCCGGTTTTTGGAAATTCTCAAAATGTTGGATTTTATTAGCTGTTTTCCAAAAAAATATAGTTTTTTGAATTTTTAGGAGTGAAAACCGCATTTTATGGAAAATTCGAGATAACCATTTTAAAGAATTCGTTGAGCTGCGTCTTTTCATGTCCTTAATTTGCAATTTGCTTAAAACCTCGATTTTTGGCGATTTTTTAAACATTTACCACTTTTTGACCGAAAACGCCATGTAGTTACATCACTAAAATCGATATATCTCAAAATTTTTGAAAGTTTTTTCTTAAAAATTGCACAGGAGACGTCAAATTGATGGGGGAGAAGGTATGCCAAGTTTCAAGTTGATAACGCAAGCGGTTCATGAGTTATTCAAGAAAAACGGAGGGGGGGGTCGGATCCGACCCCCCCCCCCCCCAGGCGGTCGCAGGTTAAAGACTGAGAAAATCGACCAAAGAGAGAATGACTTAGGTAAACCAAAGTCAGAGCGACTGTAGCTCACTATTTACTTTATTTACGTATTTTTCATTTCAACCGACAACTACAAAGGCAAATTCTTTCAACAGAACTATTGATAACATCCAACCTTCAATCCAAAACAAATGCCATATCGCTACCATTCACTGAATAATCTCAGGTGAGCCTCGCATCTTTCCCACTCCCTTCCCCCACCCCATCCCAGCCTCTGCCATCCACCTCTGCGTCTCGCCATCACCATGCATTTCACGCCCTTCTGGATCCACCCCATCCCACGGCGGAAAAACTAGTCTGTCCGGCGCCACGCAGCGGCGGACGAGGGGTGGCTGCCCGCCCAGCCCGCCGGCTGGTCGGTCGGCTGGTCGGGCGGTCAGAACTATCGTTTTTGCGCCCAGGTTTGGACTGCGAACGGACCGTGAAGACCCGGCCAGGTCACGCGATTGGTGGTAGGGACCTGGCGAGAGGGTGGGATGGGAAGGAGCGTGCCTGGAATCAGCCAGCCAAGTACCAAATTCGCCATCTAATGGCTCGGTATTCAATCAGCCATTCCGTCAAAATCTACGAGCCACAATGAAATTCCACAGTAACAAAATGTAGGTTTCAACAAATTCTGCGAAATGTGCAATTTCCAAAGTTCAGACGGATATGGCCATCCCAATTTACAAAGTTCGATGTTTGTCTCCGCCATGTCGTCGTCTACAGATTCCAACCGCGACCAGTTAATAACCAGTTCCAGCTCACTGAAAACAAGTTGAAAGAACGTTATGCAAAAGCATCTTAAAATATTCCACACTTAGGTTTTTTGGGTATTAGGGTAAACTGGCTTAGAGGCGAAGCAGAACGTCTGGTTCATGAAGAACACACACAGTGTTTCACATAGACCGAAGACACGTGCTGCTTCTTCGCGTGCAGTCTTAGTGGCCCCAGGGGAGCTTCGACTCGACCAACACCGGTTCTTCTTCGTTCTCTCTAGTCACGTGATATTACGTCACACCAAGCGCGCGAAAGATAAACCCTTTGAAGGTTTTGCACGAACTAGCATCGGGTTTAAGAAGAAGGGGTTGTGGTTTAATCAGTGTAATGGCTTTCATCCATGGGCGGCGCCACCGGGGGGGACGGGGGGGACAGGTCCCCCGCTATCGAAAGTTAGGGGGGTACAGTACCCCCCTATCGGCGAGGCCCGTTCAATAGTTGATAATAATGCATTGTAGATTTATCCGTCGCATTTAATGCATCGTTGGTTAATCAAGGCAGGTTCTGAATAAAGATTGCTGTTGGGATGTATCGCAGGAGGTCCTGGCCATCTGCAAAAGGTGTCGAGCTGTGATGCCTGTAGTTATAAGGTGATCGGCAGGGCCTCGGGGATCGTGCCCCCCCCCTTTTTGGGGCGCCAGGCAGGGTTATTACCTCCCCATTCCACTGCCAGACCCCATTGCCGACAAAACCAAGTTTACTGAAATTCCATAGATTTCCGTTACTACATATATGGATATTTTCCATTCCTAATTAGTCAAATTCAAGCATGCCAGTTCTACCACAGGAACCATTTGAAATCTATGCCATTTAACCCCAGCAGTGGGGAGAAGTGTTCGGATAGATCACAGGCAGGACCAAAAAACCACGCAGTAGCCCAAGACCTTATAATTGGGTAGCATCGGCTCCCTCTCGTCAAGGGGTTCGATAGCACTCGTTTTTTTCTGCACAACTAAGTTCGGTCGGCGGCCGAACCGAACGGCTGGGGGTCTAATCGAGCCCCCCCCCCCTCCCCTTCTTACGTCAGCGGCTGTGAAAATGCCATTACCAGCTGTTGAAACATGGCAGTTGCTTTTGCATGAGTGCACGAAAGGGTTTTAGGTACGTGATAACTGATACGTGAAAGGTTCTACATGAAAATTGAGATACACCAGCTTATCAAATTGTGCTCACTGTGGTGCGCTCGGTTTGACGGTTTGACCTTGACTAGTCTTTGAATTCTGGGGTGAAACAGACCAGTCAAGAAACCTGTTCCATAAGCAGAGCCACTAATGCTAAAGAGATGAGGGATGAGGTTTCCAGAGACGTTCATTACCTCCCAAAGGGGGTGCCCCGCCATTTGCCAATCCCTGCTTGAGTTACGATTGGAGGGTGAATATGAGAACGATGCAGGTCGTGCCAGCTCGATCATGACGAACACAATGTTGCCGACATCACAGCTCTACTGCCATTTTTGACGAAGTTAATCAACAAGGACCGGAATCCTACCCTGGGGCATTTCACCTGCAGAGGTCGCCGGACCTGAGACCCTTTCACTCAATTTTTTTTTCAACGGTGCATGCGCTCGTTTTTCCCGCGAAGCTCTTGGTAAGTAAAATCCATCAGAAAGTGTGATCAAATAACGGCTGGTGACCTTCCATGACCTAGCATGACCTTTTGAGTGTCCACCGATGACATGACCACTGACGGCTAGCCATTAGCTGCACCCTGCCCGTTGCATATGGATCAGGTGGTGATGT